CGTTTCTGTGTGCACTGAATGATGTGGCAAAGATCACTGACCCCGCTCGCACTGCACGCCGGCCCTCAAAGTTCCCCCACTGCCCTCGACAAACTCGGCCCCCCCCCCAAGCAACAGGTCCAGAGCCGCACAAGTCGTCTTCCCTTTTCTCTCCACGCCTCTTTCTTTCCTGTCATCCGCTCCCCACTCCTACTCCCACTCCCACTCCCACTCCAACCAAGAACAGCGTACAGCTTCCGTATCTCCAAAGCGTGCTTCCATTGGCATTCCCTACACATACTGTCCCCGTGTCCCTGTGTGTCCTCGTAGACACAAAGTTGCATCCGCGACGTGCTGCTCAATTAGCAACACACACAACAATCAACCACCTCTCCCACCACCCCTCTTCCCTCAGCCCAGGAAGGAATATCGGCTCCTCCACTCTCCCTCAAGACTACCCTGTCTCTTGACCCCCTCTGCCCAAAGAGGATTGCTGCAGCCACGCCTCCCCACAGGTCCACTCTCTTTGTCACAGGCCACACACGCCCAAGTGCCGGTATATTGGTCCAAAACTTCCCTTTTCCCCCTCCCCGCTCCTGCCCGTTGGGGTCCTCTGCTCTTGCTCTCTTCTGGAAAACCTTCTCTGGCCTCCACCCCCGCCCCGGACATCGGACACTTTTGACACTCACATACTGTCCACACAGGAGCTGAATAGCCAGCCGTGCTTACAGTATCTTCCCCCCGGAAAGCCTGATCTTGGAAGCCTAGAGTCCCCCTCACTGTTGCATTTTTTCCGCTTACATACCATATCCTTGGGCCCTCTTTCCCTCACTGACATCAGTCTCCTCTTTCCTTTCCCATCCTCCTCCTCCTCCTCCCCCACCCCCTCCCTCTGCCTGCACACCCTTCCTCTCTAGCCATGTCGCGCGCAAATCAGTGGTTTGTGCCAGGCGATGGTATCGCAAGAGAAGTCATCACGGCCGACATCCAGCGCTACCTGGGTCCAGATGCGCTCGTCAGGCCTGGCACCGGCACCGGAGAGTACCAGGTCCGCACACCTTCATCGACTGCGTCGCACTCGTAATCCAGCACTGACACACAAGTAGGGCCAGCCCGGCTACTGGATCACAGCCTACCGCACTCTCACATCGGTACGCTGCCCCTCCTCCTCCCCTTGACGCACACGCACATGGCATCGCAAGGCTGACACGACGCACAGCAAATGATTCAGGACTTGAAAATGGACTCGCAACGCTGGCAACAGGAACGCCAGCCTGGCGAGTCGCGTGGAGGTAGCCATAGCCCTCACGTTAGATCTACAAAGGTATCGAGAGGCCCTGACGCTTCGCTAGTAGCTTATCAAGACTCTCGCACACATGCTGCTCGCCAGCATTGGGGTCCCACGAAACCCTACGATCAGGCCGCCGAGGCCTATGAGCCGCCCTCGCGCGGCTCCACGTCGTCGAGGGCGACGTATGCCTCGTCTTCGACGGGCGGTTATGCTAGCAGTGATGCCCACTACACCACCACGCCCACCGCTCCCTATGGAAGCTCACATGCCGGCTACCAGGCTGCCCCCGCATCCGCGGCCCCAAGGACACAGCCTGCGGACCCCTACTCGGCCTACCAGCAACAGCCCAGTTCCCGGGATTATCCCTCTCACTCTGGCTACTCTTCTTACCCTGTCCAGGCCACCGCGGATCCCTATGGTCGTTCAACGGCTCCTCCCTCTGGCCAGTACGCCGCCCCAAGGTATTTTGGTTACTATGACGAACCCTTTTTGGTCTATCGCTAAGCCCCCCGTAGTGCAACAGCCGCGCCAGGCTACTACATTGCTTCGGACGGTCGCCGTAAGTCTTGGTTTGTGAGCTGTCACTAACTTCACCTACTGATCATGTGTCGTCTAGAATACCCATTGTCCCAGCAACCGCAGACGTCGTCTCAAAATCCACAACCGGGAGCTTCCCGGTACTCAAGTAGCCGAAGGTAGATGGGCTCTTCTTGACACCCGGCCTTGTCTTTGTTCGTTCCTGCGTCGGCCATTTGAGCCTGGAGTGATAGATACCCTGGTCCCCCCCCCCCCGTCATCGGAATCTACCATGGAGTCTGGCACATCTTACTAATCTAATGGACCACATGTACCTTTGCTACCACAAGGGGATCATCCATGGGCACCAAACTGTTTCCGGATAGACAAGCCGGTCTCTGGAAAATGGCTTCATGGACTTGCACTCGTGAGGTGCCAAGTACCCAATGGATCAAGGCCACTGTTTCTTTTTTTTTCTAGCCGTGGAGTTCGTATGTACGTCATGTGGGATTTATTTATTTTACCTTTCTTTACAACCCCGGATCAAGGATTCGTGGAGTACACGCCGGTACTACCACAGCCTAGCTATTATGCAGGTCGTATTTGTGGGTCCAGGACACGAGCCAAAGTGTATTCGTGTCCGCATCACAACCCATACGAGGTTATTGCCAGATCATAGTTTCTCTTCTCGGCTGCCGGGAGCTTGCTGTTGTTCACATGTATATACCTCACATGGATTGTCTTGCACGATGTCGATGTCTAACGAATGGACGATTTATCTGTGCCTTGAGCATGGTTTCTATGGATGGACGGAGATTGCTCTCACGAGGCCGACTCGTCCTGTCTGGTTGTTGCCCCGTCCTGCTGGTTTCATGTCGCCGCCGAGGTCTTTTGCTGCTATTCATTGCATCTCGACGGTTTTCGGTGCCCTGTGCTGTCCATGTTTGTCGTGTCGGTAGTTGATGGTGAAGACTTGATGCCAATCCTTGAACTATGAACCCATTGCAATTCATGAGTCTAGTAGACGTGGATCCGCTTTACAAAACAAATGTCCCGTCCCTGTCCATGTATCTTTTGTGTTTTCATTGCAATTCCCCTGGGCACAGAGCTTGGGTGTGGCATGCGGGTTATGCATATGCATACGGACATGAGCATGGATGTAGATATAGACATGCATGTAAACACGGTCATCAATTCTCGGTGTTAGCATCAAACTTAAAGTCACGCGTCACAAGCCACGAGTCAAGTGCATCAAAAAGTTAACCTAACATCTGAGTACTGTAATGTGTGGGCTAGATGGTGTGTAGGAATGTGGGGATTTTGGGGGTGGCTGTACTTGTGTGTGGATGTGGATGGATTCTTTTTCTTTGTTTCTTTGTGTGAGTGAGTGTGTGGGTTGGAGGGGGGAGGGGGGAGGTTGAATGTTGAATGTGGAGAATGGAAGGTATGGGGGGGTCTATTGATATGGGGGAGTATTAATATAGGGCCTATGGAGGAGTAATGTAAGAGAGGAGGAATATAGGGGAGTAGATGGACAAGTAGTTAGATGGGTTAGATGGCCGTGTTACTATGGTGTAGGTGTAGTCGAAGTGGAAGTGGAAGTAGAACTCTGGGACGAGATGGAGTACTACATTAGTCCAGGGTTAGAAATAGGTACGGGGATTTGTAGGGTGTTAGGACATGTTGTGTAGTTTGGGCGTAAGGATTGTAGGGAGTAATTGCAAAAGTGCGATGGTGATGGATAGATGAGTTAGAGAAACCGTGTGAATCCATATAATTTCTCTATTAAGCGGCGGGGCTTTTATGTGGATATATGCAGTCTAGGACTAGACACCAGAGACCGGACCGTGATAATACGACCATGTCTTTGCGGTTCCCGCCATTCTCCTCGTACTTACCGTTTGCAACAGAAACTATAACACAGTACACCATGTATCCTTGTGAACTAACCCATCACACAATCCCCCCATAAAACTACCGAGAAACCACCATCAAGCACCCCACATCCTAACACCCCATCTACCCACCCCCCAGCTCCAAACCACGTACATAACACACCAACCAGACATCTTTGGCGTGTTCTACACCGCCTAGCAAGAACCTTTCGCAGCGTCACGGAGGGTATACGCGTGGGGAGAAGTAGTGGAGTGCTGCTCATGTACTGCCATGTCTACCTACCAGGTCTACTCCGACGCACGGAATCAGAGTACCGTAACACAAGACGTCACCCCATGCTTTTGGCACATGTAGGCAGTCGGGACCAGGTTTAGTAGCAGTATAGGAGGATCGCTTGGGTCGGCTTGGGTTATCTTCTCTGTTAATGCAGAGACAGCGGGGATATGGTATAATAGACAAGCAGTACCCACCTACGAGCATACCCAAAAAATCCACATCCCACATCCATATTCTCTCAACTCCCCGCAGGTCCACTCTACACCGCCATATTCATGTACCAACAAACCTGCTGCGCCCGTTGTACCCCGATATCCGCGCAACCAACGGCGTCGGAGTTGGATATCCTGGGTCGCGGTTGACAACACCGAGGTACCAACCGCAGCGCTTCCAAGGAGGAAAAGGAGCAGAGAAGAAAGGCAGAATCATACCAACAGCACGACCTCCTCCCCCGCGGCAACGTTTCCCCAGAATGACTTGGAGTGACCGCAGACTGGGCCAGAATACAGGAACACGAGTAGAAGCGGCGTCCATACACACGAGGTATACATGGATCAGGCGGTAGAGCCAAGACGGCAAGAAGGTCTAGGTAGAAACAACAGCAATCAGCAATCAGCCAGCCCATAATAAAAAAGACCAGCAAGCCATAGCAGTAAAGTAGACCAAAGTAAAATGCACAGGTATGATTTGAGCAAACAATGCCTAAAAAGGAGGAAGAAAACATCAACTACGAAAGGAATTACAAAAGTCAAAACATGACCAAAGGTAGCACCACCATGTTGGAACAGGAGACTGGTGACTGGTTGTTCGTGATGCATCAAGTCTGCTCGACGTGAGGAGACGGTGCCCTTCCTCACCATGGTTTCCCTTGCGGGCTTAGCGTCGGGTAGCAGCCGTAGCGCAAAGGCTAGTATCAACAAAGGCCAAGTGCAAGACTAAGAGACATCACAAATCTCAAGCCTCGAGTACGAACCATCAAAGACCGAGGCCAAACAACATCACACAGACAAGAGCAAGGTCAAGGAGACACGTTTCATTAACTATTCACATATGCAACTTCGTACTTTCCATCACATCGACCAGAGATGCCTACGCCGTGTGCTTGACTTGAACACCGGGAGCGATAAACGCCAACAATGTCCAAGGCGAAGAGGCATTGCAGCCAGCCAAACGATACAGCAAAACTTATGAACACAATTTAAGAGGGGGTGTGGCTGACAGGCAACAACCTCTCGAGGCTTGGTAGAGCAACAAGGGATCGAGTGCAACCTAGGACATGTTAGACTGAGCAAGACAGAGAGCGTCAGAGACGTACCATTGATGAGAACCATCTACAACCTGGAACCGTGGATGACCTTGAAGTCAACGGCCATCTCCATGCCATCATCGTTGATGACCAAGATGCGGACGGAGCCACGGCCGTTGTCGAAAGCCTCGGTGAGACGGTTGAGGAGACCGCTCTGGTCGAGGACAGGGAGACCCTGCTTGACATCACCTCCCTCAGTCATGGCAACAACGCGACCGTCCTCACGGATGTCCAGAACGCGGTACTGCTTGAAGACAGGGCCAAGCATGTTCTGGACAACGACAGAGGGAGCCGGGTTGGAGATGAAGCTGGACTCCTCATGGAGCTGCTTGGTGAAGAGGTCAACACCGAGGTAGCGGTGCTGGCCAGTCTGGGAGGAGGTGGTGATGCGGATGACCTGGCAAGGGCGGCCCTGAAGAATCAGGAGATCGCCAATGCGGATGTGGTGGCAGGGGATGGTGATGGTCTCGAGCTTAGACATCTTGCGGACGGTGACAGCAGAAGGAGCTGGAGCAGGAGCAGGTGTGAAGGTTGAGGAAGCCTGATGAGCGACAGGTGCAGGTGCGTACGAAGGAGCGTACGAGGGGGCTGGCGCAGGGATAGCAGCAGGGATAGGAGCAGGGATAGGAGCAGGCGCAGGAGCAGCGGATGCAGAAGAGTGGACGCGAACGACCTTCTCTACAGGAGCAGCGGACTGGGCTGGGCGGCTAGGGGCAGCAGATGGGGCGACAGAAGGACTGGTACTGTACTTCTCCTTGAGGACGATATCCTCGCGCGAGTCCTCGTACCTGGATCGCTGGAGGCTTATCAAAAGGGTTGTGATACGTTG